CACTGCAGGTGTGATTCCAAAGTCCCTTTACCACATCCGTGAGCGCTCTCTGGGAGCAAGGATCCCATGCCTCCTTATTAGGACTGCTCCTCTGTTCCAGGGTACTAAATATCTGAGGCAAACTCTAACCTGTTTCAAATTAACTGGTTCTTTATGATCTGATCACTCAGCTGAACAGAATTCACAAATTTGGCTCTTCTTCATAGCCTCAGCCATGTGCAGTGCTAACCTAATCAATGAATTCAGCTTATTTTATTGGTTACTTACTTTGTTATTGGCTACTACAAAACAAGAAGGGAAAAGACAAGACAGACCTGCATAATCAGATGTTTGAATTCAGCGTTCCGAAAAATTTTCTGACTTCTGTGCTGCACAGCACCACGAGCTCGTAAAGCACTAAAGAATCCAGTGCAGCATGCAACAGCTGTACTGCATAATTACTTGGCCCAGCAGCAGTAGTTTTAAAATACTGGTATATCTGTTGCAGGCCACCATACATTATCATCTCATTTTCAATAAAAAGTCTGGGATGTTTCAGATGAGCTTCAATGGAATTAGAATCATGTGTGCTTTGAAATATTTATGCTTGCCTAGAGATGGAAGGATAACTCCTGCCTCCAACCCCCACACAAAATCACAGATTTAATAATGCCAGATAGCCTAACTCCTCCATACCTACAGCAGGTAGAAATGAAGTTCTGATCTGGAATACACATCTTTTCATAGGTTGTAGAATTTTATTTTATGTCATCTACTGAGGTCAACAATAAAATATAAATGTCACAGGCTGAGAGACGCCAGGAGAAATATGGTTTGGCAGGATGGAGCTGCTTAGGGATACATAAATAATAAGTCAATAAGTAAATAAATAATAGACAAAGACCTATTTTATCTTCCATTTGGACATCTCAAAGAATTTACAATCACTGATTGAAACTTGTAATGCCCTATCGGAAATAGTGAGATCCCCTTTACATATACAGGACAATTTGCATCACTGTAGTTGTAGTTTTTGGAATTAATTACTTTATCATTTTGATTAAGTGTTTCTGAAAATCATGACTGAAGGGACCCTTGGCCCTTTTAGAGGCAAACAGGGAAAGCAGTGCCTTGCTCCGCTACCTCTCGTGCTTTAACTGATTAAAAATGTCTGTGAGGGTCCATATATTTGGAAACAAGGTTGTGTTCTGCACTCAGAACTTGTTTGAGCAGCCAGTTTTGCATACATAGGAGTTGCTGACCACAACACAGCTATCAGACTAATGGCCTGTGTCTGGGTCCACAGTGTTTAGACTGTAGCAGGCACATTTGTAATGTTGGCCAGTTTAATAGTAGGGGATTTTTCCTCTTATCAAATAGCCCTTCCTTTTGCCTCTTGAGAAATTTGGTATTTCCCGGTCAGAAGCTGCACAAACAAACCTTTTGGAGATCCTTATTCCACTCATCACTTCTTATGCCAAGTAGAAAATGACCTCTCCGTGTCAGTGTATGGCACAGACTGAGGACTGATGCCTAGCTGGTCTTGTTTCCTTCCCCCAGTCCTTCCCATGGTCAGCAGAAAGCCCTTGGAGGCTGTGCTGAGGAGTGGGCCAAGACTCTGAAGAGGAACCACTTTCTCCTCCTTGCAGCACATTACCTTCCTGAATTATTGTTGATCATTTCTGCATTCATTTTTCTTCTCTCTCTCTTTGGGAAGATCACTGACACGTGCTTTCCACTTTGTTTTCTACCCTGACATGCTGAGGAGGTCAAGGCAATAGAGAAAGACTTGCTGTCTACATGCTAGTGAATATTTCTTTCATCTTTCATCGAGAAAATCAAATTATTGAATGAAACATACCTTAGAAAAACTAAATACAGTGTGATCTCAGGCCTAGCTTTGAATTTCCACATGTTCCCTGGATGCAATTTTTTATTCCTTCTTGTTTGAAATAGCATTTCTATCTTCTTTTTACCCACTGGAAGAACAGGAATGAGTTTGTTCCCAGATGTGTACAAAGGACAGTGCAGTTGCATAACAATTTCAAGTAGTATTAACAGAGTTGGTACTAAAGGGACGTTTTTAAAAAATATTTTTAAAGTCCCAGTCTGGTTTTTTGCTGAATTAGATGTTTGCCACATAAATGTTCATTTCTCACTTTTATCTTCATCCTTCATATTCTGTTTGGCACACAAGGAAAGGGGAAACTACAAAAGGAGATAGGAAGAAAGAGAGGAAGAATGTGTTTTACATTAAAAAAAAAGAGAACTATTATATGCTAATAAAAATTTTGTTGTAGTCATCAAAATGCTTGCCAACAACTTCAGTTGAACCAATATTTGTGGCAAAATCTTTTGAGGAGCTCTAAAATGACTTTCTCCCTGGAGAAGGTGATGATACATTCATACCTGTGAAGTGGCTCTGACGCAAGTGTCATTAAAGCAGCTACACCTCAGGGGTTGGTGTAGGTGAGATCAGAGGCTTCCACTTTGGGTGGAACTCACCTAACTGAAGGTGTGTGCACAGACTGGAGGTATCTACCTCAGAGCAGTACCAGTGGGCTCCCTTGACACCCACCAGTGAGACAGCCAGTGTGGTCAGTGAAGTCCAGTCAAAGGCAGAGGTCTGTTTTGGGATGAGGTGAACAACTCCTTAGACACACTTAGTTGTGTTTAGTTCTCTGTTGATCCTAGTGATCATCTCCGTGGTAGACACTCACAGTTACTAAGGGGAATCCCCCATTATCTCTGCCTTTAATAGCACACTTCAAAGTTACAGTCTCTCCCAGGAGTATGGGGACAGGAAAACAGCCTTCATTTCTCCCTTTGAAGATTTGGGTTCTTTATCTGAAGATGCAAACTAAGAACAAAACTATTTGTCTTAAAAGTGAGCAAGAAATAATTAACAAAGTTTGTAAAAACACAGGAGATAAGCCCAGATGTGCAGACAGGTTGAACAGGCTGGGCACACAGGTGTTTGCCTTGGCCATGAAATAACTGTCAACATTTCCATAATGAGGAGTGTGGGATGTGCTGCTTCTTGTTTCTTTTTCCCAAGTGCAGCATTGCAGACCTGGCACGGCTGTGGGAAGACACTGTTTTCCACCTCAGCCCACATGCCACAATATCTAGGTTTTAGAAGATAGGTATATCCCATGCTTTCTGAGGAATTTCTCTGAATATCCATCTGCTTTGGCCAGAGATAGCTGAAGGCTGCATGCCTTTTGATTCCTCATCTCCATGCTTTCCTTCCATAGTGTTTTCCTCTTTAGTACCATGCATCTAGTAGGTGTTTCTCCTTCTGTTGGGAATGCTTTAAATAATACCAAGGGGAGCAAACTCTTGAGGTTAACGTGGAAACAGGGGAGCTTTTCATGGCAAGGACAAGAGCTTCATACCCATCTCATAGCAGCACCCCTGGCATGAGTGCAGTTCTTTTTGGTGGTGGTGTCAAAGTAGTCATTCCTAGCCAGAAGGAAGGACGTAGAAGTGCTGCCCAGCCAACCCTTAATGAATGTTTACAGGAAAATGCAGAAGTCTCCTTGCTGCTGTCTCTGAGTACATGTTTTATCCACATCTTGAGGCTCTTGAGTTTCCTAATGGTTTAATAATGCTTAAGAAAAAATTATTAATAAAGTGTCATCTTATTAAACTGGCAATGAACAAGAGTAAGAAGCAGATTTTAGCTTTTATTTAACCGAGGGTTTTTCATAACATTCATCATGAAATGAATGTTTGCTCGTTTGTGTTTGATTTTAGTTAACTTTCTTGCATCTCTCCAATTTTTCCAAAAGTGCCAAAGGCTTTTTTTTCCCCTCTTGTATATTTAACTTACTTCAAAGCCAAGACATTAGTTTCTGTAGGATATTCCCTCCCTTGCATAGCCTTTATCTAATTGGTTATGTGTTGTGTGCAAGTGCAGTCTGTGCACATGGACACCCTTGAAAGATTCCTAGGATACCATGCCGAGGGAGCAACAGGGACATAACAATGACTGGTGCAAAGTAAACTACGATTTATAGATGAGCTTGTGCACAACAAGATTAACTGGTCATTCTAAAGGAAGAGTGAATTCTCATTTGAGAGGGGAAAGGAGAGGTAAGAGCAATGTAAGTGGCAAGCAGTTACTACCTGATGGTGACAACTAGCAGTGGAAAGCACTGTTGGCTAACAAGCGTCTAACCCAATATATTTTGAAGGCCAAGGAACTGGGCAAAGGTGTCACGTAATGGAGGAGAGCAAAAGACTCTTCAGCTGCACTTGTAGTTCTGCTGAAGTCAGCTGAGGGTAAGATTGGTCATTGCCAATGGGCTTGTGTGCACCACACCTCTGCACCTTCACTGGAGCACATTTTCCAGCTGGCTTGTTGGCCCATAAATTCACCAAATTAAACTTCATCCCTGAATGCAAGCTGGGGGCTTGCTGAAGATTTGAGGCTAACAGGATTCAGGAGAAATGTAAATGTAATTTTCCAAACGATCTCATCACTTTGTTCATGTTCATTAGATGAAAACATGTTACTTAAAATAAATGTTCCTAAACTGAGGTGGGAAAAAAAAACCCACCACCAACAAGAAACGTTAGACCAGCTTTAAATTATCGACCATTTATTTATAGTACAATATAAAATGGATTCATATGTGCAAATCCAAGTTATATGAAATGTCAATTAAATCAACCCTAATCTCCCCAATACAATTTTATTGCCTGATTGATGAGGACTGCTCTTAAGGTGATGAATAGTTTTCACTCTCACATAGGGCTGCTGATTCCTTTATATGTGTCCACTAAAACAGAAAATCCTTCAAAATGTCTGGCTCTGTTTGCTTCAGGATCCAGATGAAGTGAGTGTAGGACACAATGTGGTCTAATATATTAATTGTGAAGCTCAGATGTATAAACAATACTGTACATTTTTTAAAAAAAGGAAAACAGACTTAAAACTGCAGTAGATATGTTTTATTTTCCTAAGGCAAAACTCTATATAACTCTATATAACGTCTTTGTTTTCTTTCCTATAGCAAGTCCACATGCAACACCATCGACTCTTCATTTTCCAACATCACCCATTATTCAACAGCCTGGGCCATACTTCTCACACCCAGCAATCCGCTATCATCCTCAGGAGACTCTGAAAGAGTTTGTCCAACTTGTCTGCCCCGACGCTGGTCAGCAGGCTGGACAGGTGGGGTTCCTAAATGTAAGGAAGCCGTTTTTCTTTCTTCAGAAGTGTTTGTCCTATGTAAAAATTAACCATGGGGTTATTTTAACAGCATGTTGCGTACAGGAGCACACCTTGAATAGTTGCTGGAAGGAAAAAATAAGTGCTGGTACTGCAAAAGTATTTTAAAAGCCAACAAGAAACCTCCCCAAAAAACCACTCGACCACTTTGTGGTGAAATTAGTGTAAAGTGTCAGAGGAGCTGGTGCTACAGTCACCTCCTGGGTCCCCCCACAAATGCCTTTGCTGCATGTGTTGTAACCCTTGTGGAACCAGGGTTAACAAAATATGAAGGCAGAATAATTTTTATTAATTATTTTTGCAGTTCAGGGGAGAGTGGGGGGAGGAGCAGGAAAAGGGAGGGTGAGAAACAGATGTTTCAGATCAGCTAAGTTCATTTAAAAAAACCCTACTGCCTTATAGCACTTTAGATCACGTTGACCAGTACTTGAACTCAAGATGTTAAAAGTACAGTTTATTATGGTTTGTTTTTTCTGTAAGCAGTTATCTTTTCCCCTTATCTCTATGAAAAATTAAGCAGAGTTCCAAAGCTTCAAATAACCATTTTCTTTTTTTAATCAAATAAAGTGAATCATCTTGGTGTTATTGAAAGAGCATTCCAGTCAAACACAGAATTTATAAATTTTATGTAAATCAAATCTAAAATAATGCTCTGAATTTTCATGAAATGTAATGCCTGTAACTTTTTCCAACCAATGAAGTAATAACTGGCAAAATGACTGTTTCTCTCCTGACATACATAAGACCGAAAGTGTTAATGAGAATTAGTTTAATTATTAGCCTCTAATTTATTGCACTTATTTAATAAGCTGTATTGTTCTCAGTGTTTTCCTTTCCCCAGCAGAAAAACTGACTCTACTTATTCCAGCCAGTCCTTGCTTTGAATAATGTCTGCAATATGTTAGCAGATACATTTATGTCTAGACAACAAATCAATACAGTGCTTTTCTTTTTCCTTGAGTATTCATTTGCTTAATTTATCCCAAACCATTCAGCATTATGAACTGTTAGCACACTCACAATGAACATACAGCAGGGGTCTTCTTGGCAGGAAAGGGACCTAATTGGGAGACAAGATAGTGTGTGAGGGATGTCACTAATATATTAGTTTATTAAAGGTGCTAGATGTTGGAAAAATAAATATCCCTGAAGGATTGCTCCTTGCTGCAAACAGTAGTAACTGAAGCCTTTGAAGTTGGTGGGAGTGCTGTTAAGTTAAATGTAGATGAATTTGAGTCTTATTTATGCCCTGAACCATTTCTGCTCTAGCACGAGTGTGATTTGCACCTCCACGACTTAAAGGCCTTTTGTCAGTGCCAAAACAGGTGAAATGAAAATAAGGACCCAAGTGTTTGCCAGGATGAGTATTTTGTCCCCAGTAATTCAGGGTAATGGAAACCCTAACAGGAATTAAAATATTATTTTCTTTAGCAGTACTTAGAATATGGATCTGTGTTTAAAGCTGAGCTTTTATCATCAATGGAAAAGCCAATGCTCAGTGCCAGAAGAACTGCAGTGAGATCAATTTGTAGAGTGCTGTCGAAAATGATCTCATCATTTTTGTCACTAAAATGGAACACCTGATTCACAGCCTGTCCTACTTTCTCTTTGTAATGGTATTTGGCATCTATCTGTATGGTTTTCAAGTGTCCAGGCTGTGTTACATTTAAAATGTAAACTTAATAAGCTGGGGGAAGGGTTGGCATATTTTCCTAAGCCTTCTTGTTTTTGTGATACTTGAAAACACTTTTACTTATGGACACGTTTTTTTCTGGTGATTAATTGAAAGACCACACTTGTATAGCTGAGCCCCTTCAGCCTGGGACTGACCACATCCCAGACTAAAGAGAGGGTGGATTTTTTTCCCAGTATGTAAAATGAAGCAGCTCTAAGTTCAGTCGTTTCTCCACATGATCCTAATGGTAACCAAACCTTGAGCTGCACTATTGCTAACTCAAAAGGGATGTGGGAGAGCAGTTATTTTAATACACACTCATTCATTTTCCTGTAATAAGATATCAGCATGACTTTTGAGACCACCTAAAATGCTTGTTTTTTCACTTAATGAGCAGTATCTTTTAGAAATTTACACTCAAGTCCTAGGCACCGCTATCCTAAGGGAGTAACAGAGGCACAAAACTGGGGGATTTTAGGGGTCAAAAATACTGCTTCACCTCTCACTGAGCATGGGTTACTGCTGCAGGAAATGTAGAGAGGAGTAGAATTTAATCCAGGGCTGTTCAGACCAGCTGCTAAAGGGACAAATGTTTAAAAGTGAGAATTTCACAAGGTTCACAGTTTGAGACAAAACTTCCTTAAAGTCTATGATAGTCTATTCAATGATTCTAAGCCCATGGAGAATTTAGGCAAGCACTTTCTTTGCCACCTCTCAAGTAATTGCAAATGTATTGCACATAGTTTGCAACTAGATTGTTATTACTGGAGGGTTCTAATAGCTGATTTTTAGTATAATTTTTGTCTGTTTGCTTGTTTTTTGGCAGCCCAATGGTAGCAGCCAAGGCAAGGTGCACAATCCATTCCTTCCTACCCCAATGTTGCCACCACCACCTCCACCACCAATGGCTAGGCCTGTGCCTCTGCCAGTGCCAGACACAAAACCTCCAACTACATCAACAGAAGGAGGGGCCACCTCTCCCACTTCTCCAAGTAAGTATAGACGCAGCGGGAACCAAGGGCTAATGGCTGTGCACAGTGTGCCACCATCACCATCCATCGGCTGGTTAGGCGTGAGGACTGGACTAGCTCTTGGGAAGCAGGAGAGCTCTCTGCTCCCTGTATGATGGATGAAATTCTGAGCAGTTTCTATGTTAATTAGGAAAGAGTTAGCTTAATGTTGCAGTTTTATTTCTGATTTTTTTGGCATTTCACATTAGCACACGTGAGAGTAATCAAGGCCAGCAGCTAAGCTGTGACACATACCTCGCAGCTCTTTGGGATTTTGTGTGCTGTCATGAGGAGGCAAGTTGACACCCCATCCCTGCAAGTGTTCAAGGCCAGATTGGATGAGTCTCTTAGCAAGCTGGTCTAGTGGAAGGTGTCCCTATCCATGGCAGTGGGATTGGAACTAGATGAGCTTTAAGGTCCCTTCCAACCTGAGCCATTCTATGGTTCTATGATAAGTTAGTATCTAAAGAGGATAGATCCTACATGGAAGTCAGACAGCCTCGTGGAAATCATCATTGCTAAGACATACTGGGTTAAACTAACAACTCTTTCCAGTTTACTTCTTTTATAGTTCTTTTGGGAATAAGTCTTACTAGATTAACCAAGACATCATTCCCTTATGCCTTGGTTTCCAAGCCCTGCATTTTGGGCAAGAAGCTATGGTATGTCTTAGGGCCAAGGAGAAAGCTTTAATCCTCTCTCCACCACCCACACGGCTCCCATATGCATTTTGTGTAGCCACAAGTCAAATATACGAATTCCTGGATACACACTTGGGGATAGCACTTTGGACTCACTCTTCTGGGAAACAAATGGAGTTCAGCTGTGTCTGATGCTTTAAAAAAAAGTCTGGATGTTCAGGGAGTTAATTGTGAAATGATTTAATGAAGCTATGCTCAAACTGACATTTAAAAACAAAAGGGAAGCTTTCAGTGCTTTAATGGCAACTGTAGGGGACTTGTTCCACAGTGAAGGGAGTCCAAATAACATCCACAAACAAAAATCAATCTAATCGAAAGAGCAAATCCCTTTGTGTGCTTTTCAAGCTTATTATTTAAATGCTATATGCAAAGAGGTACTCACTCTTCAGACCAAGAGTAGCCTCAGTTTTTAAAGCTTTATGTACTGTTCAGGAGATTTGCACAGGTTCCAAGGGGCATTTTTAAAATCTGGTAGTTCTGAGAGGTTCGCATTGCCTTCTGCTACACGACAGTGCACAACTGCAAACTCAGCAAGATGCTCTGGCTCACTTGGAAATTAAAATGGGTTTTAGTATGAGACAGTCTGGTAAGATTGTGAGCACGATCTTCTAGAATCAGAACTTCTCGAATTGATCAGCAGATTTGTGTTGAGCGAAGAGTTGATTCATTCTCTCCCCTCCGTTCCTCTTTCTGACCTTAGACCAACCCTTGTGCTATCAGGAGGTTTTGACACTTTCTGATGGGAGATACCATCTTTCAAGTCCTATCAATGAGATTCAGCAGTGGAGCCTAAAAGGTTAATGTTTAGTCATAGTTATCACTGAATACAGTCAGCATTGCCTTACTATTTCCTTGTCTTCAGAACCGGGAGAAACAAAACTAGGTCAGTGTGTACTTGTCATTACAGTTGTGACTCAGTTTACTGGCAGTGTCTGGTGTCTAAAACAAAAAAATTCCCAACATCATTTGAGCAGTAATCTTAATACTTAATTTTTATGATACTGTGATCATGTAAACAAGCTCAATGTGTGTCTGGCCTGATTCTCAGCTGGCAGGAAAATGGGCATTTCTCCGCTGAAGTGAGCAGAACACCCATCGGTGTCGACTGGGGCTGGTCACTGGGCTCAGTGTTCAGCAGACAGCTGCCACATTAATTGGGAATGGAGGTTTTCTCAAGAGCAGGCAGTTAATGGTATTTAAACAAAAGATTAGGAAAATAATTACTGTTTGTTAATTAGCTACGCTGATGTCTAAACATATAGTTCTGTACATATTCAGGCATGCATCTTCCTTTTGGTGAGGGGTTTGAATAGCAGAGACTTGAGTAGTAAAGAAGCATATAATTTAATTTAGGGACAAATTTTACAGAAAAGTAGATTATAGGAAATATTTTCTAAGGAAAAAAATATTGCATATAAACCAAAGCTAGTGGAAGTATTGGCCACATGAAGGGTAAAGCAAACTGAAGTTTCTATCCTCGCAGTGAGGGTTTGCCAGAAGGACCCACTGGACTCCATTCAGTGTGTCAATCAGAACCAACCTTCCATTTCCCTTGGTGTTTATTTTTTCCTTAACTAAATATTAGCCTTCAAATAGCAAGTGCAGATTCACCAGAGTTCCATAAAAGCTGCACAAAAAAGGTGTTTTCCATGGTTACGAGCTGCTGGAGCGCACCGGTTCTGGGAGTGTCGCCGGGCTATGGCTGACTGCCCTGCAGAGCTTGAGGATATTGGAAAGTCACTTATGCAACAAAGGCAGGAGTGATGTTAAATTTTGGCCAGACTCTCTCCTTAACTGTGTGGAGGAGAATGAAGTCCCCCCCCATCAAGGAAATGGAGTGAAAGGAGTTGGCATTTGCTCCATTCTCCTTCCCTTTTTTGGTCTAGCAGAAAGCCCTCAGCAGAAACAAAATGCAGTCACAGCCCAACCAAAAATTGGAATATGGCCCTCCTGAGGGGTGCAGGAGCCAGGAGCAGCTGTTCAATACAGCATGGCCTCCTGGGAACAAGAACTAAAAATCACAACAAGGTGGTTAATGATTCTCAGAGCAATAGTGAAACTCTCCAGCTGTGACATTAACCAAAACATGAACATTAGTGCTGTCCAAGGAAGGAAGAGCCCCTGGAGATGCACACTGGGGATTTGATGCTACTGGGTGGCCAGGCATGCTCTGGGAGTTGAAAATCTCAGCTGTGAGTCCTATCCCTTTGGAAAGACAGCATTTTCCTCAGTGAGATGACACAATGGAGATGGGATTCATGAGGTTAGGGAGGGTTCGTTTTTCCTCCACAAAAAGCTTTTTCAGTAGAACACATCCTTGGTATCAGAAACAGTCCCATAATTTATCTCATCTCAGATCTTGTTTTTCTTTAGTTGATAACCCGTAACAAGCACACCACAGTATTTTCTTGAACTTGACAGTTTTGGGGTTTAATATCTCACTGCTCAAAGCAAACACCACCTCCACTCCCTGCCAGTTGGCCTTTATCGCTCTCATAACTGAATCAGAGCATTAGAATTTGTGGCCGTTGTTCCAGTGCAGAGTCTAAGATACTGCCATCCTGTACCATGAATTGAAAAAATTTTTTAAACTAGATGTCATTTTCTAAGGTTCACAAGTCTACATGGGGGAAAACTTAGCTTATTTTCCCTTGTTGGGCAAATTCATCATCGGTTAATGTCCCTTTGCACGAAGGAGTTTTTGTGTTAAACAGCATTTGTCTCAGGATGAGAAGAATGATCTTGTGGCTGTAGTACTGGTTTCATAAGGCCAAGTGCTGAGTACTGCCCTTAGGTCACAAGAACCCCCTGCAGTGCTTCAGGCTTGGGGCAGAGTGGCTGGAAATCTACTGGGAAAAGGACCTTGGGGTGTTGGTCAGCAGAGGCTGAACCTGAGCCACAGTGTGCCCAGGTGGGCAAGAAGGCCACTGGCATCCTGGCTTGTGTCAGCAATAGTGTGGCTAGAAGGACTAGAGAGGTGATTGTCCCTCTGTACACGGCACTAGTGAGGCACCTCAAATCCTGGGGTCTGTTCTGGGCCCCTCACAACAAGAAAGCCATTGAGAGGCTGGAAAATGTCCAGAGAAGGGCAACAGAGATGGGGAAAGATCTGGATCACAAGTCTGATGAGGAGCAGCTGAGGGAGTTAGTGGGGGTTGGGCTTAGCCTAGAGAAGAGGAGGCTCAGGTGGACCTTCTTGCTGTCTATAACTCCCTGACAGGAGGTGCAGCCAGGTGGGGGTTGGTCTCTTCTCCCACATAACAAGTAGATAGGACCAGAGAAAATGGCCAAAGGTTGCACAGGAGAGGTTTAGGTTGGCTATTAGGGAAGATTTCTTCACAGAAAGAGTGGTCAGATACTGGAACAGGGCAGTGGCAGAGTCCCCAACCCTGGAGGGATTTCAAAGCTTTGTAAATGTGGCACTTGGGGACATGGTTTAGTGGTGGCCTTGGCAGTGCTGGGTTAGTGGTTGGACTTGATGATCTTAAAGGTCTTTTCCAACCTAAACGATTCCATGATTCTATAAGCAGATTGGCTTTCTCTCCCTTCCTCTGCTATGCATTGACTGAGCTCCCTCTGGGCAAGCCATTATAGTTTTCTGTTCACTCCTTTCCCCATCCAGAAAAAGGAGGGTGATGGTTGTATCATTGAGTTTGCTAGAATTTGCAGTTCCCTCTCGATACTCAGCTGCAGAATGCACTGCAGTAGGAATTGCTGTAGTGCACTGTGTTCCTCCAGTTAATCCTCTTGCTACAGATCCACAACAGCTAAAGTAACTCCTGGTCCCTTGAGAAATAGGACAATTCTCCTTATCAAACACATGTACCTGTCATTTTGGTCTGTAAAGAGAGACCTCTTAGTACATTCTGTCATCACTCACCCAAATCATCTTTACCAACAAAAAGTTTATCCTTTTAATCCAGAACCATGATAAATTACACACTCCTATACTTAATAGTAATTATTTCAGAAAAGTATATTTTAAATTAACATTCTCCTACTGCAGGCAACTTTAAAATACATGACATTCCCAAAACTGTTTGTTTGTCTTGTCTTTCATACGATTTCTTGCCATTTTGGCTAAATATCAAAGCTGTCTGTGTGAGCAAATGTTCTTTCTCTGCCAGCTCCTGTTTTGCTTGTTCCTGAAGTGAAGCATCATAGCAAATTTGTGGCATCACATTCACTTCCTTGGCTATGGGCTATGATGTTGCAGACAATCCGTAGTGAATTCCAGTAGCAGAAAGACCAGGCTGGGCAGGAAGATGTTTCTATTCATTCCCAATGAGACAGCTATCAGATGGTGTAAACTCATGTAGGTCTGTGCCATTCCCATGGAGCATAGCTGATAAAGATCAGGAAAAGATCTGCCTAAGAGACCTCTGGCTCCTATTCCTTTTCATGCTTTGGCTTTTCCCAAGCTGGAGTTTCCCCACCATAGGCTTAGCCTGTGTATACTATAATATAATTTAATATGAGACAGCTTTAACCAGTGAGAACAGTTTGCCCCATCCTAACTCAGAGCAGAGTCTCAGGATCAGACTTCCAGGAATCCCACCTCCATGTCACACAAGGGCATTTCTATGAAGACAGTAAGATAGAGTAGAAGCCATGCTGTTGATGGCCTAAGCAACACTTAGTACTGCTCCCTTAACTGAACGAGGAGTCACTGCTGCTGTTTGTTCCATGTCAACTTAATATCCAAGCCAAAATGTCCTGTTCGAATCTGCAAACATCTCAGGACATTTTACAGTGAAGTTGGACTAGCAGTTTGGGAGAGGCCAGTGTAAATCCTCTGCATATATGGAGTTTTGGTGCTCTTCCTTCTTGGCTCTAGCAATGCATTTATATGACCTTAAGGAAATACCAAGCTGACATCCGAGTATTTTCAGAAAGCAAGTTAAACATCGTTTGGAGCGGAAGAAAGGTATACATAGCAACTCACCCAGTGAGCTTAGGGGGGACTTTTGTGCATATTATACAGTTTTCAAATGCTTTCAGATTTTTGTTTGAACAGAGAAGCCATTTAACACAGCATTTCACTGGTTTCCCTTTGATTTGCTACCAAATATCACAGCAAAAGTATCTGCCAACAGGGAACTGTAAACAAGATCTTGAGTTCCTTCCCTTCTGAGTGGAACTTACCTGCTCCAAGGGATTAAATGGCCTCTCCACTCAATCTGCTTCCTTAAAAGTAGACCAGAAGAACCAAACAACAGATGTTTGATTTTTGAGTTTGAAGTTAATTTTCCCCACTGCAAAAGGAATTTTTAGTCTGCACAACATAGGCCTCATTAGTTAGTTAAAAAAAATACCTCAGCATAAAACAGTACTGAAGAATGTTAATACATGGCACTAGCAACAGAGATCCTCTTTGCAAATGTGTGGTTTCTTTGAATTATTAAGCAAATTAACATGGTAAAAAGGGAAGGAGAACATCTCACCAGATCTGCACAGTTAATTTCTTCCTTAATTTGCAGACAGGAGTAACACCCAGAGTACCTGCTCATAATCTAACGCTCAAGCTGCACCATGCTTTGCAGAACCATCTCAGAAAGAAGGACCAGTGCACTTAAAAGTCCTTTAAAACTTTGTGAAGGAGAGGTGTTTCTTGCATAATTTTTGCAAGTGTTAGCTCCTTGCAGAGAAAAGCTCACCTCACCAGAAACAAGTAGGAAGAATTCATTCTTAAAAGCCAGGAGTGCCTTATCTTCCCTTGTATCAGTAGGAAATGAAGATGGGCAGTTCCTGGGATGATTTCAGGGAATGCTGTCTGAGAAAGGAAAGCTGTCTGATGTAGTTGTAAGAGCTTGGAGGCATCATGAGACATTTGTCAGACTTGGGTAGAGAGGAAAAGGAAGGATGTGGTTCTCCATTTCCCCAGGCTTGGGAACTCCTCACCCAAGGGCATTGTGGGATGCAGAATGCTCACATGGGTCCAAGGGCAGAGAGGACATTCATCAGTGAGAAACCCCTTGAAGGCTATTAAACACCGGGAGTCCCTGAGCTGAAAGAATCAGAGGTGGGAAAGAATAGGAGAAGGTAAATTCATGACCTGTTTTGGCACTTTTCTTATGGCCTCTGTAAGAGAGAGAACAGAGGGTAAGGTGGAGTATTGATCTGATTCAGCACAGTCTTAAACCAAAGGCTCCTTCAGTGTAGTCCCTTTTCACCAAAAATTTGCCTTCAGGAAGGCAACATGGTTTCCTCTACACAGCCAACTCAGTGTCTTCTCCAACTCTTAACTCACTTTATTTTTCTGCAAAGTTGAGGCCTGAAAATTATATTTAGCCTGACTGGAATTTGGCAAGTAACTTCCCTTTTAACATTGTTTTTTTGTCTCTTCGTTGAATAGTTAGATTGTCTAGGGATTTTATGCAGCAGAATGAATTCCTATAAATATATTTAAAATAGACAGGATCCCTGTTTGTATTAAGGCATCTATTTAGGTTATTTGAATTTAGATCTAAACATGCAGAGAACTGAAGAAAGGAGAAGATTGCATGGAGGGCTCAAATGAGAGGAAGACTAAAAATGCATTGAAAGCTTTTGGAAGTATGTGGCATTGTGGACAGTTGCAGTGGAGAATATAATGCAACAATAAAATCATTAAAGTACTTCAAGTTTGGAAGTAATCTGGGTTCTTGGCTTGCATTGCATTTAATAGCTTTACATTTATGGGAGCCACTCCAGTTTTTAAAGGCAGCTTCAGCCTTCAGACTGATTGCACTTACCACCCCAGTGAAACTGCAGCCCATTAATTTTTTACCGAAAGGATCTTCCTAGTTTGTCAAACACATCAAGTGAACATTTTAGAGAGTGCAGACCACAGCAGTATGAAAACCGAAACTTTATATGGAAAGAGAATGCTGGATTAGCATGAAATAAGGGTCTGGTTCTGTTAATTTGCTTTAGTAAATTCATTGCTATACAAAACTCTGTTAAAAATAAAGATACCAGACTAGTAGAAGTCTAGTGGAAGGTGTCCCTGCCCATGGCAGGGGGGTTGGAACAAGATGATCTCTAGAGTCCTGTCCAACCCAAACCAGTCTGTGATACGCAAAAGATGCTCAGAGAGACCCGTCAGGTAACAGTGCACTGTAGTCCCCCACCAGACACAACGGGAGACTGCTCCAGCAACTTCCATGTGAAATAATACTCCATTTGAGTGCGAACAGTCAGGACCTGCAGAAGGCTCCTGTGACAGCCCATCATGGAAAGGCCTGTAGTGGTTCTCCTTCAGGCTGGTGAGCCAGCCAGGTGGCCCAGCACACCTTCCCTGAGCCCGTGCTGTGGCCATCCCCCCTCCCAGCAGCCCAGTCCCCTATGTGTTTATATCCCCATCATTAAGCCCAAACCTTTCCAGTGTCGAAAAACAAACTCTCGCTCTCTAAAACGTTTGCACATTTCTATGTTAAACATCTGCTTAGGTGGCTCTGAGACAGTGTGTTTTGGTGTTGTTCGTGTGCAATCTAGTGCCGCTTCCTCAACGCATGTGTCCCTTCCCTTCACAGCCTACTCGACACCCAGCACCTCCCCCGCAAACCGATTCGTCAGTGTTGGACCACGGGATCCAAGCTTTGTAAATATCCCTCAACAGACTCAGGTGGGCCGCTTTCGACTTCTCTGTATGCCTGCAGCCTCTTCTTCTTCTCCAGTGTCCTCTAACGTGTCCCCGCGGAGCCAGCTGCATTGCCGCTGTCACCTCACCCACATGGTCTCAGTAACTACAGCGAAATGTCACTTGCAGTTTGTTTGTCTGTTGTGTTTTTTTGGGCTTATGTAGTAATAACGCTGCTTTCGTAACTGGAAAGATCTCGCTTGCTTTCTAAGATATTGGCTTGCAGTGTGCAGTTGTTTTCCGCTAGGACTGGGGTTTTCAAAGACTTTGGCTCCAACCTGTTCCCCAGGCACTGCATTTAATTGCACTTAGACTAGATGTTCTTCTCTGTGAGGGTGCTGAGGCACTGGCACAGGTTACCCAGAGAAGTTGTGGCTGCCTCATCCCTGCAAGTGTTGAAGACCAGGTTGGACAGGGCTTGGAGCCACCTGGGCTAGTGGAAGGTGTCCTTTCCCATGGCAGGGGCTAGAACAAGGTGAGCTTTAAAGTCCCTTCCAACACAAACCATTCTATGGTTCTATGATAAGCTGGTATCTCGAGGATACCTATGGATATCTACATGGAAGTCAGACAGCCTCATGGAAATAATCACTGCTTAGACATCCTGGGCTAAACTAACAACTCTTTCCAGTTTACTTTGGGATCTTGTGTGCTATCATGAGGAGGCAAGTTGACATCCTATCCCTGAAAATGTTCAAGACCGGGTTGGATGGGGCTTGGAGCAACCTGGGCTAGTGAAAGGTGTCCCTGCCCACAGCAGGTGGGTTAGAACAAGATGATCTCTAGTATCCTGTTCAACCCAAACCAGTCTGTGATACGCAAAAGGAGCTCAGAGAGACCCATTAGGTAACAGTGCACTGTAGTCCCCCACCAGACACAACGGGAGACTGCTCCAGTGACTTCCACATAAAATAATGCTCCAATTCCTGGTTGGCCATTTGCATGGTGGGCTTTGAGCAAGCAGAAGATTCTGTAATTGCAAGCACATCTGTTTCCTTACACAAAGAGAAAAAAGTCCAGTTGAGGCAGGCCTATAAAGCTGGGTTAGCTGAATTCATAGACCTGCTATTGTCAAATCAGAAGCTCAAGTAAACATTTGTGTTTCTTTAGGAGAAGGACGAGGTTTAAATGTGCTTTTTCCAAGCTGTATCAAATTCCCAGGGTCGATTAAGAAAATAGTTGTTGGCAGTTTTGTTAGCAGCTAATTTGAGCCAGATGTTGAAAAAATTAAGTCTGTGCTTAATATCACGTTATCATGGGGGGGAAGGTATAAAAAAGTGAGCAGAGCTAGTGCTTCAGGACAACTGTAGTTTGTAGTTTGAAGTGATTGCTTGACTATGTTACAATTCTTTTAAAGGTTGACGGCATGAGAAACTTGCCATTTTGTTTTGAGCTGGTTGTGATGTCTTAAAAGTAGCAATTCAAATAACTAGCAAACTGGGGTTTACTACCCCTAGCTCTTGTAAGTTTTTTCAAATCGTTTATAGGCATCTGAATAATTCGTGTACACATTAATAGTTGTCACATGCCACAGCAGATGCATGAAGACAGACTCCTTGTTGCAATGGCTTCAGCACCTTTGCTGTCACTGAAGCACAAGTCACTCGTTCCCAAAAATGTTCAGTTTACAGGGCTGCAACCAGCTGCCTCTGAACACAGTGTGTTTTCTTGCTGTCTGCTCTTTGTGTACAATTTGTTAGGGGCTTTAGTTTATAGCTCTGTGCACAGCACAGGTTAAACTACATCGAATCTCAAACCTTCTCTGCATTAAATAGGGTCACAGAAAGTACAGCAGCAATGCAGAGAGGGGTTTAACCCATCAGATTCTGGGGAGTTTTTTCATGCCTTAACGAAATGCAGCCTGTACCCCACTTTTCAAGCTTCTTCCTGCATTTGGTTCATGTATGTGACAAGTTTTCATGTACCTTCAGATTTAAATCATATTTCTCCAGTTGTTTTGGAAACAACTGGAATACACAGAAATACACAGGAATAGGGAAACAGGAATGTTAAGGTGTACTGCCAAAGTCCTTAAGCATTCAGTCCTTTCCTTCATAGCTCAGGAAACCTGAAACTCTTTGGGAGAATGCTACTTACCTTTTCCAGAAGACTTGAAAAACTACTAGTTGGTAAATTGATTATGTAGTAAGACACAACAGTATGAAGTCTCCAAAAATATTTTAAACTTATTTGCATCCTGCAGCCTAAGTTTCCCAGATAAGTTTGTTGACTGTAAACTTTTATCCTCCTTATTTATGACTTAAATCATTTTAAAGTGCTCTAGCGTTACTTTAAGTGCTCCTCTGTAATGCAGCGTAGTGAATAACAATGCTGTACAGTGAAAAACAATACTCAAGCACAGCTTTCAATTAAAGTCTAACATGCTGCAGTGGGGAAGGAGACTGACTTCCAGTCTCTGACTCCAGCTGCATCTCCGTGCTTCTATACATCATTACACCACCACAACCCACTTGATACTAAATATATAATTTATCAGTGAAACTCACTACTTATTCATGAAAGAACTCTGAAGTTGACTGTGTTTTAAATTGGAGAAGTGATTTAGAAGTGCTAACTGCAATGATTTGGGATTTACGTAGCCTTCCTCTAAGCAAAGATGGAGTGTATAGGACAATCACTATGAAAATATAAAACCACGTAGGATTGGGTTATTAAAAGCAGCTGGAGTAGCTGCTTTCCATCAGGACTTTTGTAGTACATTCAGAGTCAGGCTAAGATACTGGTCCTGAGGACCACTAACCTCCAGTGACACAGCTCCCTGAGACATGAGGAAGCAGGGAACACTCAGAGCTACTGAAAGTCAAGCTGAAATCTAAGGGTTAAGCAACTCTTTAATGCTGGAACAATAAAATAAAGAATGAAGACTACTTAAAAATTATGGTACAGCTACAACCTATAAGAAAATATTATGGTCAGCTCTTTGGTGGCTCTGATGTTCTCTCCCAATTGGGGGGTCACTGGACTACATGCCTTAATTACACATCATCATCATTAGTCTTCAAATGCTGCAAAAGTGAGTCACAGACTGTGCATAGGGATGTGGCAGCCCTATTGAGCAGAAGTCACAGTTCCCATACATGGACATTCAGAGAGCATTGGAATAAAATCCCAGACAAATGTACTACAGCATGACTGGGTTGGAGCAAGGATCATTCTGTCCTGGGCTGTTTTTAAACAACCAAACCAGTACATGCCTTTATTAATGGGTCTTACAAAAATTAGCA